TGTCCTACTATGTCTGTGTGCTGTCCGTGGGCCGAGGTGGGTTTCAGTATGAATAACGAAGTGCTACTCCAGGCCAGCGCCTCTATGTTATTGTAATGTAGCAGGAAAACACTACATACATATTTCATTGAAGGAAAGGTGTGAATTCTTTGACTTGATTTATTCTCTCTTCTCTTTTCTACAGGATTAACAGGCATGTTTTTGTGACTATGTCATTGTCTATATACTATGAGAAAATGAGATTAAATGAAGCTCCAGGCTCCTTTCAGCTTTAAAATCTGTGATTGATTCTTTCAGTATATGCCTATTTGAGCGATGGACCAAAACATGTTTTCAATTGACTTGCTATTTCCAACCAGCTCCCAGATTTGTGGAAGCATAACAGTTTCCCTGTTCTTTGGTAAAAATAGAAGTATGAATCTGAATTATTTTTAGAAAGATAATCAGAAGCACTCGTATTTTAAAAAAAAGATAGCCATCAAATTATGAAAAACACTTTTAATGCCATTTTAAAATCAGAAATTGATAGGTTACTGGGGATCCCAAGTTAATTACTGGTGTTTTTATTAAAATCATTATAGTTTCAATCAAGAGCATTCTTAATTCCTCTTTTTATAGTCTATAGGAAATCAAGGCTATTTCAACTTTTCAAAAAAATAGTTTTAATTACATGTATTAGCCTTACCTATTTAATAGGGCATGAGATAAATAATGCTTTGAAAACCAGAATCTGAATATGTTTTTAATTGATGTTGATGAATTTCAATTAAAATTTGGTCACTTTCCAAATTGTACTTTATATCAACTGAGAATACAAAATTTCAGACTTGATGCTAATTATTTGTGAATATGTCAGGTGATTTTTATGCGAAGGTGTTACGATTCAGCTTCACAAGAGATGTAATTAGCGCACATCTTGGAAAAGAAAATTTTTCATTGCACGTTTTACATGGGTTTGAAGTAAACAGCACCGTGAACTCATACTTTTGGTGTTTATTAGGGTGGTAGAGTGCCACTCTAATGAATCATACGAGATAAAAAAGTGCAGATGGCAGAGAACATGGGAGAGTAATATGTTGTTAGGTGTCATTTTCACCCTTCATTTGTTTGAGAAAATGGATAGTAATTAGATGTCATGGAGCATTTTCTTACAAGAAAATTTCTTGATTGGATTTATCTTGCTTTCTGTGTCACATTTAGTTTATGGCAAATAGCCTTCGGTTTGAAATGATTTGATTATGATAATTTATCCCTTGTTGCTTTCTTTCTAATCTCCTCATTTAGAAGATTAGAGACTATTTTCTAATTTTGTAGTGGAAAAGATATCAGAATGAACTGGAGAAGATATAGTCCTTTCTTTTTATTCAGTTGTCAGCTCTAATGTTTCCACTCTTCCCCAGGTTTTGCTCTTTTTCCCCTGGGCTCAGAGCTTCATTGTCTAGTAAGAATTTAGGATACTGAGCATACTTTAAGGTTTATATTTGGCTGTTTTTAAAAAAATCACAAAATGATTTTACTATTAACAAGAAAAGTATAAGCTTGCTAGACTTAAAATTCCTAGACTTCAGTTTAAGCCTACCTAAATAGATGCTATCTTCCATTTCTGCCCAGTGGAGTATAATTGTTCTGTTCTAAGATAAACTAAAGAAGCCACTTTACAATAGAGACCTCTTCAAAAACTATTGATACTGTTCAGTAAAGGATTACTAATCAAGTTTTCATTTTTATAATGAGGTACCTGAGGCAGGCAACTTTACAAAGGAAGAGGTTTATGTTGGCTCATAGCTCTGAAGGCACATGGTATAAGCAGGATAGCAGCAACACTAGCAAAACCCCCTGTGGGCCACACCCTACCCTGTAGGCATATGTGTGTATCTTTATGTGATCTCTCTCCCTCTCCTTATCAGTCATGGGGGCTGTACCCTAATGTCCTAATCTAATTTCTTCCCAGAGTCCCCTGCCCCATGTCTAAGTATTATACCTGAATGCATTTCCACTCTCTTAATACCATTACCCTAAGATTTTGGAGTTTAAATTCCTCCATGGGTTTAAGGGGAAAACCATCTTCAAATCACACCAAAAGGTGGCAATTACTGTGGGATTTTACTTAGATCTGTGTTACATTTTAAAATTCTGTGCAGTTTTAGAGTAGTCTAAGAATGTCATCCTTTAAGCTTGGTTTTAAGTGAAAATATTAACAGACACAATATGCTCCAAGTACAATTATAGTGCCTCCAAAAGATGAGGTCTAAGTCACTCAGAATTAATAGCTACAGATTAGTCTTGTGTCTGTTATTCACCCATAGCAATTTGATAGACATGATGTAAGTGGAAGCCGAAACCATGAGGTAGTTGTGATCATACCAAGGAGTACTTATAGAATGAGAAAGGAAGAGGGCCAAGTGCAGAATGAATGTTTCAAGGGCAGGCTGAAGAGGAGATAGCCAAATAACGGCCAGAGAGAGAGGAGAGAAACGAGGATTAGATTGCAGGAAGAAACCAAGAAAGACTTTGAAGAATGGCTTAGATTTCTTCAGTTGCCATAAGATGAAAACCAAAAAAAATTTTTTGAGTTTTGCAATTAGAAGGTTAGTTTGCTGGTCTGTGTCAAGGCATTTTCAATAAAATGTGGAAATGGACTTTAGTTTACCTGGGTTTATGAGCAAACAAAATGAATACGTAAAAGTAGTTACTGTGAACTATTCACTCAGATATAAAGGAAAAGAGGTAACAGCTAGGAAATAAAGCAATATTCAGGAAGAACCATTACCTTGCAAGGATAATAAAGACCTCTTGTACCCTTTTAGCAAGGAAAAAATAGTTTTATTCCCAAACTATGTTATATGGTATAATAATACTCAGAAAACATTATAGTCTTCAACTTTTCCTTAATTAAAAAAGAAATAGGAAAAACAAGTAATCATATTAAGAAATTAAAATAAAACCAAAAAGCCCAAAGGAAAATTGGAAAGATTAAGATAAAAGCTCTAACTGTGAACCTACAATAGGAAAAAGGTGTATATACATGTCTAGGCTAATTTCTATGCCAACTCAATTTAATTTCTTGGCTAATTTCTATGCCAATCCAATTTCTATGCTAACATTAGATATGGTAGCAGATCAGTATACATGGAACAGAGGCTGCATATAAATTCTCTAAAGGCAATTTTGGCCCCAGTCATTTATCTCCCCTCCATTATTTATGCCCCTCAGATTCCTATTTGGAAAAGAAGTTGTTACCTTGGGTGAAGGGCCAGACTTGCAGGATTCTACAACAGTAAATCCTAAGGCCAGAGAGGGAATTTTGTAGTCAGGGTAAATCTACTTGATAGTTCTACTCTAATAAAACTTCCCTTGGAAAGAGATTCATGAATTTGGAGTACTAAATCATTGAAAGCAAAAAAAATAATCTATTCAAAAAAGAATAAGAAAGACCTCAAAATATTTGTATAAATTAATTGTAACCAAAGGAAAGCAGATACATATAAAGCTATTGGATTTATTTTAATATTTTCTTTTTATGTTCCTATATTCATCCTACCTCTCTAGAAAGCTGTCATTTTGTGTGTGTGTGTTTGTGTGTGTGTGTGTGTGTGTGTGTGTGCCGGGAATCAAATTCAGGGCCTGACACTGTGCTACTGAGCTATATCCCCAGCTCCATGGCTGTCATTTTCGACGACAGTTTTTATAAACACTGAAGCTTCTGAACTCTGAAGACTTGTTACAGTCCTAACGTAGAAACTCTCTCATCTGGCATTACACATTTGAGTAATCATTATATTGTTAGTGGCATGCACTTCATATTTTAGAGGCAAAACCTTTAGCTGTCCAAACTCATTGAGTGTGATCATTAAAGATCAAAGGCCTGTTTACTTTTTACTCAGTTTGACTTAAGGATAATGACCCATTTAAATTGCTTGATTTATGGATACTATTGATGAAAAGGAGGGAAGATATGGGGGACTGTAATTATTTTTCTGAAAACTTGTAAGACCGGACTGTAAAAAGAGAACAGATAGTGTTCCTTTAGACTTTCATTGCTGATTAGAAAGTGTCTATATGGGTGGGGGAGTGCAAGTGCGTGTGTGCATACGTGCGTGTGTTCTTTACAGGATAAATGCCAGTTTACTTACCTTCATATCTCCTTTTTGGTAAAATATAGGAAGAGGGGCCTTAAACTCTAGAAAACATCTCTTGTAAGTTTGTAGCACATGCAGCATATGGGTAGTATATTTACACCGTGTTGAGCCTCTTTTATTCTAATAAACCCAGGAGCTACGGGAAATAATAAAAATTCTAATTATTTCTGTTGAGATTTTTGTTAGTGTTGTTGTTTGAAAGAATGCCATAGAGAGGAATCTTTTTAAACTTGATGCATTGTGCAGTTTTTTTCCAAACATAACATTGCTTATAGACGATACCTTTCTTGTCATATAATTTTGCCTATATTTTTCACTGATTTATAATTGAATTAAGCTTTCTCTTGTTCATTAAATTATTTTCCATTTTTTGAACAGAAGAGCTAGAGAAATCATTTTAGTGTTCATTTTTTGCTTGATAATATTCACTCCCCAAAAGCAGTAGAAAAATGTTATGCTGCTAGAGCAAAAAATACAGTGGCACTGTTTCCATGGGCAAGATGATTCTGTTGGTATCTGTGAGCTTTTGCATTTGTCCATTTGACCTAGAAAGCAGAGCCACACTTTTGGACCCAACATATGCATGACAATCCTCCTTCTGCCTTAATTATTATATATTAGCTTTTGGTAAAATGTCCCTCAGTTATCTAGATTGTGAGATAGTTGTTTCAAACAACAGTTGTTTCAAACAACATGCTATTCTGTGGCATTTAGGGATTTGCAAAGTTTTATTCACCATTCAGTTCCCTTTTCTCATGTACTTGCATGGATTTCTCTAAAATGCTTTCCTGTAGTTACAGCTTTTAAAGAGAGAAGTTGAAATCTGATCCTCTTGTCTGTTTTCTTTGTATCAACCTGTAGGATGAATATAAGCCGGAGAAGGCCTTGTCTGAGGAGGACTTGAAAAATGCCGTGAGTGTGCACCACGCCCTGGCGTCCAAGGCCACGGACTATGAGAAGAAGCCAAATGTGTTTAAACTCAAAACTGCCGACTGGAGGGTCTTGCTTTTTCAAACACAGTATGTCTTTTTGCTTCGGTTCTTATTTGTGTTTAGTTTTTAGCTTCGTTGCTACCGTTTTGTACTAAGGAGTATAATCTGGCTCTGTAGGGAAAATTTTTTGAATTGGAGTCAGAGCCATAACTACCTGAGATGACTCACATAAACGTTAGGGACCTTGCTGCCATATGTCATTAGTATCCCTGTGACTTTAATTAGCTGCTTGTCATCCCTCGAACTCAGTTTGTTTATCAATAAAATGAGAGTTGTAGTAGACATGTTCTCTCACAAAATGAGTAATACAGGCGTGGATTTGAATCAGTATTTCCTAGCTCTCACAACACGTAATTTTTAACCTCTTTAATCCTTACCTTGTTGCTACTGTAGGTAGTAGTGTTTACCTCATATATATCTGGTGATGATTAAATGAGTTAAGTGTACAAAACACTTCACAGTGCTCTTGGTATGTGTATACTGTTCTGTAAGTATAAATTTTAAATTTTGTTCTAGTTTCCCTTCTGATTGCTAGTAACCTGTGACTGTACTAGGAAAACATGAAATCATATTGTGAACGTGGAAAGGGATACATTACCAGTTTCATAAGAGGTCTAAGAACAGCCTTCTGATTAGAAGTAGAGCATTCCACATGAGGGATTCTGGATTTGCGAAGTGAGAAGCTTTGGATTTTCAGAATAGAGCTTCGAAAAGCAGGAATTTCAGTAGAGGTCACACATAGTGTCCAGTAGACAGTGTTAAATCATTCGTGGCTTCAACTTGACTTCAAAATCTACTTTGTACTATCATCTGACCCCAGTTGATGCTAGGATTAAAATTTGACATTGAAAGTAGTAAATTCAAGCACACATGTGGTTGTTGATCAAGCAATGTGACATCAAAAAAATAAACGGGAACAACATCTGGTATTCTTTGGGTATTGAACTTTGAAGAGTATACAATTGCTGGCATCAGGTGATACAGGAAAACAAGTAGGGTTTTCTGAGTGTGGGAATAGGATATTTAACACCACAACGGGACTCATAGCTAGACTCATGGGTACAGTTATTAGGCATAAAGCGTCTTTCAGATGATTCTATTCTACATTATTTTTTAAGTCTAAAATACCCTGTTATAATACACAAGAAAGTCTAGTTTTCAGGTTGGATTGATGCAGAAGTCAGTCAGTTGAAATTGGAGTAATCACACTAGGGAGGCATATAAGGTACAGTGAGGCGTTGATCCGTACTATGGTCTCTTAGTGGGGTTTCTTCCAGTGTAATCAGTAAAGGAAATGATTTCAGATTTGGCTAACATTTTTTCATCTTTTCTTTATGACTGTATACATGATGAAAAATCTTTCTTGGTTCATGCCCATTTCTACCACTCATTTTTGAATTTATAAACATCTGTTAAAGGCTATCCTTTCATATATAATGACACATAAGTTAACAATATGATTATGACATTGATTTCCACCTCCTCTAAGGTGGATTTTAGCAGTCTTTCCTAGGCTATACTTTATATATCATAAATTTTCACTTGTTTTTGAAAGAAACAGTTAATGCTCATATTGTTTGATCAATTTTGCATGTCTATATCTGGTAATCTGAGCAACTACTTTGAAGATAACAATATGCAATATAATAACTGTACTTAATTTCCTATCATATTGTTTTAAAATTCTGTATCATTTTTGTCATTTTTTAAAATTCTCTTTGAAGTAAATAAATAAATATATATATGCTTCTGTGATTTTTAATGAACTTACAAATGATATAGCCATCACCACAATCCGGTCTTGGAACACTCCCAATATTCCAGAGAAATCCCTGTTCCTATTTTACATTCACTCCCCATTCTCATCTGCAGCCCCACACATGCAGTACTGTACTTTTTTGATTCTTTATTGCATGTCCTGCACATTTCATGTAAATGGAATCATATAATATGTAATCTTTTATACCTGGCTTCTGTCACCTCACATAAGTTTTGGGCATTCATCCATGCTGCAGTACTTCATCATTTTATTGAATCTATCCTATTGTATAGATTTACTACAATTTGTTTATCCATTCGCTAGTTGTTGGGCATTTGGATTTCATTTCCACGTTTTGATCCTTAGAAATAAGGATGACATAACTATTGACATACACATGCTTATATACTATTAAGCATATAATATACTATATACATAATAATAGTATATAGTAGTTATATACTATTATTTTCCTGGTGTACCTACATAGGAATAGAAATGCTGAGGTGTATGATAAATTTATAGTTAACTTTCGAAGAAACTATCAAACTGTTTTCCAAAGTGGATATAGCCTTTTGTATTCTCTTTATTAATCTCTGCCTCAGTTGAATTCCAAAATAAAATTATGTGATTAGAAGAGATGAGTCCATGTTTAGCTAGTTTTTAACCTAACCTAGTATCAAACAGAAAGTCCTTCTGTATATTAAGGGGATAATCAGTATTAGACTCTGATGATCATAGGTTCCCGAGCCTTGTACTTCCTCAGTGATCACTATGGAGAATGTTGATCCCCAGTGAAGTTTTGCTGGGGATGTGGTGGGCAAAGTATGATGTGCGTGGATGTGGAAATTTGCTAACATAAATGTCTATATTTCTCACAGGAGTCCAGAGGAAATGCAGGGGTGGATAAACAAAATCAACTGTGTCGCCGCCGTATTTTCTGCCCCTCCGTTTCCAGCAGCCATTGGTTCTCAAAAGAAGTTTAGCCGCCCACTTCTGCCTGCTACTACAACAAAGCTATCTCAGGTGTGTCATCTTATTAGTATTTGGACTAATTATTAGTACATTTTAGTACTAATTATTAGTAATATTAGTATAATATAGTATAATTAGTACTAATTATTAGTACTATTACTAGTATTTGTACTAATAAGATTGTAATCTTATTAGTATTTATATTTGAGTAGTACTCTATATTTTGAGGGCAGATAAAAGCTTTGCTGTGTAGGACCACATTATATAAGTTGGGCAAAATGTAATATGCTGGACTCTGTACTTCAGTAGTATTTGCCTGTTTTTTGTTTGGCTTTGGTTTTTTAACAACTCTTAATTTTCCATTAAGTGGCTAATGCTAAGATAATATCCAAGCAAGCATTTCATTCATTCATGTATTCATTCATTCATTCAGTTCATTTTATTAAGTGTTGATCATATTTGGTGGTAGGAGTATAAAAACACCTTAAGGATCCCCTCTGTGCAGTGTGGTGGGCAAGGGCCTCCCCTACTCAGGCAGAACTGAGTAGAACATTTAAAAGATATTTTACTACTGAAAGTGATAAGACAGTTTAGAAAGCAATATGTAAAACCAAGCATGTGATGGAGAATGGGTTTCAAAAGGAATGAAGTTTTTGACTCAGCCTGGCGAGCCTGTTTGGGATAGGTGACCTCCCTGAGAGCAGAGCCTCTTGGGAGATATCTGTGCTGATCACAGCAAGGGGCCAGCAGATCCTGAAATACGGGTCCGGAGACACCCCTGATTTCTCGACTCCCGTGCAAACTAGTTCTCTTTAGTCTGATCGCTCTTGCCTTAGCCATTCTTGACATTTTGGCTTGGATCATTCTTTTTGTAGAAGACTCTCCTATGCCCTGTAGGATGTTGACAAATACCCCAGTTTCTACTTAGCAGATACCAACGACTCCCCACCACACACACACATGCAGTTGTCGCCACCCAAAATGGCTCCAAACATTGCCAAATATCTTCTGAGGTCAAAGCCCAGCCCCTGCTATTGAGGACCCCTGTCTTAGCTCAGGAGTAGTTCTGCATCTGAGACTGTCTGTCTTGCCTTTCAACTCACCCACAGCCAGGCCATGATCCCTAAACACCAAAACCTCTTGGATATTTCAGTTTACAAAATTTATAACGGTGTGAGTACCCTGCTGGAGAAAAAGATAAAACAGGGCTGGCAAAAAAATTTAACATTCAATTAAAAGATTGTTTGGTACTTTTGAGACACGTTATTCATCACCCTGTCATTTCTGAGCTTTTCTTTAATTTATTCTTGTCTTCTGTCCAAAACATATTAGCCTCAATTATTAAAATTGATTATTGTCAGCACAGCACAGCTCTTTCGGAACAACTCACTGTGTAGGAGTCTGCTTCTCAAGTTGTTTTTAATGGCAATGCAGCCGGAACACATTTTTCTTCTCCTGCTGGGGGTGGACAGACAAGTTTGGAAATTCTGGGATTTTTCCTCTTTCTGACGTTCACGGCCCCCCACCTATTTAGGACCTCCTTCTATACCCACCAAAGCAGTTACTTCCAAACATGAGTATACGTATGAATTATCTGGGAACTTGTATAAAATCCCCATTTCCCAGGCCTGGCAGGCAGTTTGGATCCAGGCAGGTGCCAGGAAACACGTATCTCTCTCGCACACCCGGGGGACCACCCCCTAGCAGTACAGGTGGCACTGAGATACGTGCACTAGGACAGTCTCTGAGGTCCTTCATGCCTGATCTTGAACCTCACCAAGTCACTGTTCCTAACAGGTATCTACTTAGCTCTGTTTTCTTCCTTGAGTTCCAGCCACTGCCCTGTAAAAACGTGACCAAATGGATAATCACTAGATACTAAATATTATCTCTTCGGGTCCAGGCTGTAGGATGAACACAGGTCAGAAACAAAGGGGAGTGCTGTGGGGTCTTCTCACACTAAAGTGCCCTCCATCCCTCTCTCTCCCCTGGGGTTTACCCCAGACAGTGACCATAACCATCTCCCAGTGCCTAAGGAATTCACTAAAAATCTCTTGAACTCATAAACAAAGTACAGTTACAAGATGCAAGAGTGTTTTGTGTAAAACACAAATCATATCTCATTGCTGATTGTAAACATTCTCCCCAGTGGATCATCTGGCCTAAGGTAGATACACTCCACTTTGGAATAAACTGATCCGTGGCCCCTTTGGGTCTCTCTGACTTTAATCTTTCCTGCCTCTAATTCTTTCACAGTTCTGGCTAAAATGTGGTCCAACTGTGTCCCTTATCTTTCTGACTCACTTTCATCAGTAGGTTGTAGTCTAGACTCCTTGGCGTTGCCATAAACAGTGATCACACTTTTCCAGGGGAGATAGATGGATTATCCATTTCTGTGTTTAATTCACATTGGGGCAGTGATGGTGAACTTACGGCATGCGTGCCACAGTGGGCTGTTCATAATCATTGAAAGCTGTAAGAGGTTCGCCTTCGCTTCAATCAGTGTCCAATAAAACAATTAACTGAATCATGTAGAAGTCACTGCTTAAGCTCTTTAAGGTGTCTTAAATGTGAAATAATAATGCAAAATCTTTCCAGGGATGGTTCTAGCAATAGCCCTACTCAAACTGACTCAAGGCAGATGTTCTTTATTGTATAGGGCTCCAAGTTCAGCAGTTACTCTGATAAATGGGATTCCTGATTACTAGAAATGTCATCATCTTATAAATTGTGTCTCCTTTAAGACAGTCCAGAGAAAGCCACTTGATCTTGCTGCTCTTTACTTTCACTTTCTGTTTTCTTGTAGTGCTAAGCATTAAACACAGGGAGTGCTAAACTGCCTCCGCCCTCCATTATTAAAATGTTTGTTTGTTTTAATCTTGAGCAGGTCTTGCTAAGGTAGCCTTGAATTTGTGGTTTTCCCACCTCAGCCTCTTCAATAGCTACATGCACCACCAAACCCAACTATTATTTAATTCTGTTTACTGAGCAATGTATCAGATACTCTACTCAGTATGGTGGGCATTAGAAAGACAAAGCAATTGTGTTAACTCATGGTAGTGAACCTTTTAGAGCTTTCAGTGATAACAGGTAGTCCACTGCAGCCTGTGCGCCACAGATTCACACCACTGTTTAGCTCTTACTTTTGAGAGCTTTACATGTTAATGCAGACCAGAAGGTATATCTGCTTCTCATCCAGTTAGCATTGTGCTAGACACTGGAGGGTTAAAGGTAGGGTTACATGATCCTCTTTGCCTTCAAAGAGTTTATAATCAGTAAAGGAAGTAAAATGAATGCATAGATGAGAGTATGTTTGTAATAAGCAAGTTGTAGAGACATCCAGCTTCTGTAGGAACACAGAAAAAAAGTGTTGTGAGGTCTGGAGTACCTAATGCCAGTTGGATTGGCACTTGGAGCAAGGCATGTAGGCCTGAGTGCAGCCTGACCCTGCGAGAACTGCGGAGAGAAGGCATGTTAGGCAGGATGGAGTTTATGAAGAAGTCTGAAAGCCTTGAAATGCAGTGTTTTGTTTTTGTTTGCTGTGCTGGGGATTAAAACCATCTAGATACATCCTGGTCCTCCATGCCTCCCTCCCTCCCTACTTCCTTTTTGAGACAGATTTTTGCCAAGTTGCTAAATTGTCCAGACTATCTTGCAGTCCTCCTGGCTCAGCCTCCAGTAGTGCTAGGATTTTAGGCGTGTGCCATGGTGCCTGGCGAAATACAGTGTGTTCAAGTTTGTGCTTTCAACAGCCCGTTGGCTCTGGGAAGGTTGTTCTGAAGTGAGTTTATAAATAAAGGTTGGGCGAACGGGCCTGCTGCCCTAGCAAGTACTTGAACTCTCTGCGTCTCTATTCTTCCAAGATGAAGAGTTCAAAAGGGACAAGAGTCCAGCTCTCTTTAGGAGTCTTAGAGTGCTCTGTGACCCAGTTGGGTAAGAAGGAAATTGATGGTGACACTGTGGCCGTTCCATGTTCTTGCCCCCAGCACATGCAGAGTGGCTGATGCACGGCAGGTGTGCAAAGGGCTTGTGGCAGGTGAATGTCTTCTCCCACCTGGCGCCTCCTACCCTCTCTCAGGGCTTCCTCCCTCCCACTTCTCTTGTCCTTTCTTCTCTGCAGCTGTGTGTTGTCTCTGCCTTTTGTTTTTATGGCTTTTCTTTCATTTTTCTCTCCTTGAGAAGTGCTGAGTCTTAGGGTTGGTATAAAAGGTAGAGAGCTGGTGTCATAGCCTGGGCCTGCGCTGTATCTCAGGACAGGAGAGCTCCGCTACAGTTCCACCCTGACCACCACAGGCTCTGGAGCAGCCGCGTTGCCTATCCCCATCGAGATGAAATTAGACTATGAAAATTGAGTTCATTAAAAATCCAAAAGCAGATCTAGCATGTGTTCCAGGTATCTCACCTCTGGATATATAAAGGAAATGAAATCATACCAGTGATACCTGTGTGTCCATGTTTTTTATGGTGCTACTGTTCACAGTCACTAAGGTGTAAACTCAACTATGGGCCCATTGTCCATGCATGAATGGATCCAGAAAATGTAGTGCTTGATATGCAGTGGAATATTATTAAGCCATAAAGAAGAAGGAAATTCTGTCATTTTGGCAGCATTCATGGAACTGGAGGACATTATATTAAATGAAATGAGCCAGACAGTAAGACAAGTGTCACATGTCCTGTCATATGTGCGAGTTTAAAAACATCAACCTGAATGGAGATTAGTAATCACTAGAGGTTAGGAGGAGGGAGAGATGGTGACTAAAAGAAGAATGTATTTGGTCAGTGATACTGCTTTCATGTGTTGAAATACCACACTGAAATCACATTTATATGTAGAGGCAATGCATGCTAATCAAACGTAAAATAAAGCCAGCACTGTTGGTGGTGTGCACCTATAAACCCAGCTACTTGGGAGGCTGAGTCAGGAGGATCATTTAAGCAGAGGGGTTCAAGCCCACCCTGGCCAATTTAGCAAGGCCCTGTTTGAAAAACAAATAAAGTTAAATTTGAGAAAAGAGAAAATAGAAATTTCCCTCAAATCACTGTGTAAG